AATATAAATTATAAGCAAAGTTTAGGCGAGCGGTAGAATCAGCAGCAAGATGTACAATAATAAAAATATATGTCAACAAAGCAAACGTCAAATGCAAAAGTAGCGAGAATGATACCACCTTATCGACGTATATGATATACTACCATACCGACACATAAGTTACCCCATTAACATTTAGAAGCTTATTAAGACAACTTTAAGATCCAACAAACTTCATTTAAGAACATGCAAATTTGAACTCAACATACCGCCGCCCTTGAACTATCTAAGTTAGATAAATGATACGTTCAATTTACAATTACTTTGTTTCTTTGAAAAAAAATACTTAAAGTTATGAATTTCATTCTTAGTCTAAAGGTCTTCATCAGCAAAATAAATCTTCCTTAGTCGGTAGAAGGCACAATTTAGTTATTGGTCTCTTGTATTCCCCGGTTGCAGTCTTCACTGTAACAACACGTACTCGGCCATCAACTCCTGAGTGACACCGAATTACCCTTGCGAGTGTCCACTTAGTCGGAGGGGTGAGATCGTTGAAAATAGCTACAATATCTCCTTCTTCGAAATTACGTGAAGGACGAAACCATTTAGATCGACGTTGCAGACTCAAGAGATACTCGTCTTTCCAACGACGCCAAAAATGTCGTCGGATTTCTGAAATTAATTGCCACCTCTGATGGAGATTTCCACAGAACCCTTGACGCTCAGGTTCTGGGATGGACTTCAGAGGTTCGCCGATAATAAAATGTCCAGGTGTTAAGGCTTCGAGGTCGGAAACATTTGTTGAAATTTCACATAATGGGCGAGAGTTAACGCAAGCTTCCACTTCAGTTAATAGCGTACTGAAGTCTTCGTACGAAAGGAAGGTATCTCCTAAAACACGCTTCAAATGGTATTTGATACGTTTGATACCGGTTTCCCAGTATCCACCCATGTGTGGTGCGGTCGGCGGGTTGAAATGCCACTCAATATTGGAGTCAGCAAAAAACGACTGAAGCGCATCATCAGCCATGCACTGCTCGTACTTGTTGCGCAGTACCTTTTCAGCTCCAACGAAATTCGTGCCATTGTCAGATACCATGGTCTTGCAATACCCTCTTCGATTTATGAAACGCTTGAACGCGTTGAGAAAAGCTGGTGTCGATAGATCCCCTACAAATTCAAGATGCATCGCACCAGTGCACATACAAATAAATGAACATATATATCCTTTCGTAGATTTAGCTCCTCTTCCGTAAGTATATTTGTATGAATAGGGTCCAGCAAAGTCCACGGCAGTGCGTGTGAAGCAACGAGCATATGTCGTACGGGACGCGGGAAGGTCACCCATTGACTGCGAGGCAGCGTTACGATTGATGCAAGTGCACTTGACGCATTTGTGATAAATGCTGCGGATCAAACTACGAGCTCCAATCACCCAATAACGACGCTGCAATACGACCTGCATTATACGTGGCCCAGCGTGCAAAGTAAAGTAATGTATATCGGAGATGATGAGACGTGAAAGCGGAGAATTCTTGGGCAAAACTATTGGATGCCTCGCGTCGTTTGAAATATTTGCGGATTTCAGTCGTCCACCTACACGGAGAATACCGTTGGGTCCAGAAATGGTTGCAAACGCACCAAGCTACTACGTAGCGGGATCGGCCTTTTTGCGCTGCAGTGAGAGATCTCATTGGCAAAGCGAAAGTTTTGCGTATATTTAACTAAGCGGCGCTCCGCTTCGACCAGCTCCAACCCGCTTAGAGGACCATGGCGTTTTTCGACGAGACGCTTAGTTGCTCGAATGTTACTAACGAATCGTAAGCAGAATGAAATGACGCGACGTAGCTTTAAATACGACGAATATTTTGTAATGACGGGCCAGTAATCGTTTGAATTTGAAACGTTTGCTGCAACTTTGTTTCGAACGCCAATGTCGGTTGCGTGTTGATTTGTCGACTCTTTCTTCCAAAACTGGTCTGTACCTTTCAAAAATTCAGGACCGTTCCACCAAAGTTTGTGACAAAGGAGATCAGACGGCGATATACCCCTGGACGCGCAGTCAGCTGGGTTCAATTCAGACCTTACATGATGCCAACTATTCGGCGGCAAAACGTCTTGGGTTTCGGCAACGCGGTTAGCTACAAAGGTTATCCATTTGCTAGGATGTGCTTGTAGCCAGGCTAAGGTGATGGTTGAATCCGTCCAAGCATATAGCGGGTAGCGAAGATTACCCCAACTGTGCAGCACGTTTCGGACCAACTTCGAGGCTAGATGTGCAGCGCAAAGTTCAAGGCGGGGTAGAGTCGTGGGTTTAAGCGGTGCCACCTTAGTTTTCGATGAAATGAGGCTTACAGCAACAGTACCGTCGGGTTGCAAAGTGCGGGCGTATACCACAGCGGCGTAAGCTCGTTCGGAAGCGTCAGCAAACACTTGCAGCTCCGTGAATGAGCCGGCCATTCCGGATCCAATCCAGCGATCGACCTTCAACTCCTTCAAGTTCTGTAGCTCTACTCGACGATCTCGCCAAGCCTTTTCGATTGTGGGTGGTACTGGGTCGTCCCACCCAACTGCAGAACGCCAAACGTCCTGAAACCACATTTTACCCTTTATTGTGACCGGAGCGAGTAAACCCAGCGGGTCAAAGAGCGTACTAGCGTCGGCTAGGAGGGATCTCTTGGTTAGGGTTGCGGGTTCTTTCTTCAAATTGACGGCAAATGTGAAATGATCTCCCTCGGTGTCCCACATCAGACCAGCGCGTGAACGTCTTTACCATCGACTACGTAGTGCGAAATACCCCTCGAAGATTCGGAAATACTCTCGTTGAGCTCCTTACAGTTCGATGCCCACTTTCGTAACTCAAAGCCTCCTTCCATTAAAATCTGTGAGACATGTTGTTGCAGGGACTGAAGTTCGGTTTTGCAAGATGTACCAGTAAGAAGATCGTCCATGTAAAAATCTCTAAGGATAACTGAAATAGCTTTTTCGGAATCGTTCGTAGAAGTCTTGGCAGTTTCTTGCATCGCCTTTACGGCCAGATGAGAAGCAGCCGCCACACCATAAGTTACTCGTAGCATGCGGTAATCTTGAATTGGCGCAGATGGATGTGCACGCCAAACGATGCGTTGTAAGTCGATGTGCTTCGGTGCCACACATACTTGACGGTACATCTTCGCAACATCGGCGGTGACAGCGAAGCGGTGCATACGGAAACGCAACAATATAGCGTACAGGTCGTGCTGCAATTGCGGCCCAACACAAAGGGCATCGTTGAGCGAATTCCCGGAGGTGGTTTTGGCAGAAGCGTTGAAAACGACCCTTAGCTTCGTCGTAACGCTCGACTCCTTCAGCACTGGGTGATGCGGCATATAATACACTGCATTAGTCGTCTCTTCGGGTACAGGTTCCATATGTCCCATATCTATTAGTTCTTGCATGAACTCGTTGTATAGCGCTTGCAACGCATTGTCCCGAGTCATCCTCCGTTCGATGCGTAATAGACTTCGCACGGCAAGGTCGCGAGATTCACCCAATGGCACGTCTGCTTTCAGCGGTAACTCCACTAGAAAGCGGCCATCAGGTGATCTTTGGTGCGTAGAAGCGAAGTGATCTTCGCAGAAGCTCTCTTCGGGTGTGAGAAGAGGTTTTTTCGGAGATTCCTCAAGCTCCCATAACCTCGTTAGCGCGCGATCGAGTTGCACATCACAGTGCAGCGACTGTACGTTGATCGGTGGCGAAGGTGAAGCTTTGATACTTCCGCACAAGGTCCAACCAAAGACCGTCTTTTGCGCCATAGGTGCGCCGAGTGGACCTTTACGAAGTTCAGGACAGACGAGACGACTCATAACATCCATACCAACCAAGATATCGATGCGACCGGGTTTCATAAATTGCGGGTCAGCTAGGACCAAACCCTGAATATGCGGCCATTCAGGAATGTCCAGAGTATGCGACGGCAAGTCGCTAGTGATTTTCGGCAAAATCAAGGCTTCGACGGGATAGCGATCTTTGGAGAAGTAGGACGAGAGTACGAGTGATGCCTCACCCTTACAGTGGCCTCCCTGCGATGAACCTATTCCGGTGACAATTACCGAAGACGATTTACGGGGTAGACCCAAGCGTTGTACACATGCCTCAGTGACGAATGTGGCATGTGAACCAGAATCAAATAATAAGCGCGCCGTCTGCCATCGGTCGGCGCAATCGCGAACCTTTACAGAGGCGGTGGACAACAACACAGTTTGTTGCGTTAGAGGAAGCGGGGTTTCTTCAGAGCTCAAGTATGATGAGACAGCATTGGCATTCGTCGGCGAACTGGTGCTAGCAGACGCGTTTATGGGGATGGTTGTGGATGACGTATCCGGAACGGTGCGTTTAGCCTCGGCGACAAAATGGGCGGATGTAGCGGTTGATGCTCCCACACCATGGAGCAGCGTATGATGTCGTTGGTTGCATATACGGCATGCGGAGCCACTATTGCAGCGATCCTTGTAGTGTCCTGGACTCAAACAGTTAAAGCAAGCTTTGCTTTCTTGAATGAATCTCGACTTTGCGGTCCGATCTAGGTCACGGAATTTCTCGCAAGCATAAATTTTATGGGATTCATCGCAGTACATACAACGCGTGTCTGGCTGTTCCGAGATAGCGTGAAAAACTTTAGTTGACTTTCCAAACGCCTTTGACACAGTTGGTTTTTCTGCTACTTGATTTGCTGGCGTGATGAGCATCTCCAAAGAACGGCACCTTACCTCCAAAAATTCAGTCAGCTGTTCAAAGGTTGGTGGTTCGTCGCTTAATAATGACAGCTCCCACTGCTTCCTGGTCTCAAACGCTAGTCTGGAAACGATCTCGTGAACCAGCCAATCGTCCCAAAAATCGACAGGACGCCCTAGTGCTTTGAGCTCCCGTATGTGCTGTTGAAATACATTCAAAACTCTCCTTATAGCATCAGCGGTGTCGTCTGTGACCCTTTTAACCTCCGCGATTGCCCTAAGGTGTGCCTCTACGATAACGCGCATAACTTTGTAACGCGATTTAAGTAGATTCTAAGCCTCATCGTAGTTGGCGTCACTGATCTGGAATCCACTTATTATACTCAGCGCATCCCCCTTCAAACAGCTACGTAGATAATGCAACTTCTGCCCCCCTGACAAGGCAGCATTGCCATCAACTAATGAACGGAAGGAGTCATAGAAGGCAGTCCATTCAGTGGAATCGCCAGTGAACGTTGGAAGATCAATTTTGGGCAGACGTATGGATGCAGAAACAATGGGTGAAGCGGTTATGGGTTGCGATGAAGGATCAACTTTACATTTCTGCACACGCCTAAAATTTGCCAGAGCCGTGGCATACCAAGATTCGGCCTGTTCGCGAACATTATCCTCCACATCGGCGTTTTCACTTCCACACGAATTTTCCACGGCATCTTGAGCGGTGTTGAAACGGTTCCATTGCTCACTCAATAACCCTAAATAACTCTCGACGCCATCTATGTCGAGCATGAATGTTTCATCTAGGCTCTTTGTCAAGTATCTTTTGATAGCTTTAAGGGCCGAATCTCGCGTTTTTACAAATTCCGACATTTTTATTTTTCAATAATTTACTTGCAGGTGGGTATAATTTATGCGGTTGAATTTGCAAAGAAAAACCAAAGGCAATAAGATAAATATGTATGTATGTATGTATATATATGCGCTAAAAGTGAATAGCGCAACTTTGCAGGGGACGAATGAAAGTCACAGCGATGGCAAAGCGTAAAATAAAAACACGTTTCTTTGCAATAGAAATTCTAATGCAGCTGATTTATTATGCGATCTGTTAAATTATGCGGGTTTTTAAAGAATCCTTGAGCAATCCGGCTCGACGGACCAAAATGATGCGGCAGAATACTTCCTTTGCGGTGCGGGTTGCTTTCTTGTTAAAAAGCGCGGGTGTGGACTGTATAAATTATTGCGGTTGACCTTACCAATTGAAATTATATGCGGTTTGTCCAAATAAACGTATAGGTGAGTTATGTTATGGCTTAATTCACAATACTTGTACTTTATTTGCACTTTACGAAATATAATATAAATTATAAGCAAAGTTTAGGCGAGCGGTAGAATCAGCAGCAAGATGTACAATAATAAAAATATATGTCAACAAAGCAAA